GAGAAAACATTAATGCAAAAAGGCAATTCGAAAGAAAAACAATAAAGTGTGTGTTTATTAGTAGCATCGACCGCGCTTACCGGCGACCAATGAAAAGTCGTCAGTCTCAGTGCGGTTGAAAACACAAAACACTTCTATCTGCCATGAACTGGAAACCCGTGAGGGGACAGCATGGGGGAGGCTAAACTGTCTTTCGGATCAAAGCCAGAAACAGCAGCAACAGAAGAAAAGTGCACGCGTCTACCAAGGCTACCACCTTGTACTCGAGTTCGTTTAAGAGAACTTTCACCATGATCCTCCTCGGTTTCGCTATAACCTTATTCTGATCCTCATGTTGACAAGAATCTCTGTGCAGTTCTTCCCTAGCCCTACGTTTTTTTTGGGGGGGAAGGTCATCTGGCTCAAACCCTTTGCTCTCTTCCACTCCTCCATGTTTTCCTCCCCCATCGTCGTCTTCGTCCTCCTTTCTTCTCTTTCCTTCGTCTCCGTCACTCCCAAAAGATTTACCCTCATTACTATCGTTGTCGCAGGGATCTCAACCGATTGGCCCTGGTGGAAGCTGGTCGATTAGTAGCCCATGACGTTTGAACACATCGCGAGTTCGCATAGACAGAAAACGAGCTAGCTCGAAGATAAACCGTCTCCGAATCCTGTTAGTATGAAAAGCTTTCAGGCGAACTAAGGATCTTTCGTCGTCTAAATTCCCCCGGCAAAGGCTTCGTGCGCCAAGTGGTTGGCGATGGCAACGATGACTCGATTGGTGCCTTCGCCAAGACCACCATTCGTTGAAAAAGCAGCAGTAAGGAGGGTAGATCTAGACGTGTGTGTGTGTGTGTGTATGTTTGTTTTTTGTTTTTGATGTGTCTGCTGTGTGACGGACTCAGTGTTTATGTCGGTCGTGCACCACGACAAAAATTGCCTTCCCGCATTGCCGGTTGGAAGGCAACATTGTCCTAAAAGGTGAATCGTCTACACCACGAGAGCGTGTGGTTGGAGGACCGGCTGGTACTACTATCCTCGAACGTGTGCCAAGTGCGGAAGGTAAACACTTTCGCGGAATTGGGAGTGGATAACACACCGGCGTGGTGGAAGTCACGCGCGTGCCCGGCAACTCGTCTCGCGGCACGATTCGTCTGATGTCGGTATGCTATAAATGTCAAAGTACCTCGATCGCCCAGCCCATCTTAGCTGCCGTAGCTTGCGCAACGCCCAGGTTGATGTCCTTATCCGACAGTTCCGGGCTCTCGTCAACGGCCTCGGTACAGGCCGTCTGTATGCCCGGCGGAACATTTCCCCTCGGGATGGCACAAGGGAGGCGCTCTCTGGAGATTGTAACTTGCGACGTGACAGCCGCAGTGGACTGCAAGAAAGAAACAAAAAGAAAAGCAACATGATGTTCGGGTATATGGAAGTATGGCGCATAAGCTCCGTGATGTGTTGGTACGGGGCGCTAAATATATCCATCGGCCGATCCCCCTCGCATACGGACGTGAGACCACGAAGCAATTTCTACCCGGTGCGCACCTTAAAAATCCCCTGCGCATACGCCGTTTGGAATGCGATCTCGGTCCTAGCCTCCACTTTCGCCGCCGCCTCAGGCGATGCGACGAAGGCCTCAACCTTCCGACCGCGTGAAATAGCAGTTTCCACTCCGGTGTTGTGTTCCGCGCCGAATAGTAAGACGGTGTCGCCTTGACGCGAGTATCTGCGGCATAAGGCGGCATTACGCTGGTCACTTTTGTGGGGCCGGGTTACCGAGAAGAAATATACACGTTTTAGCGCATCTCCGGAAGTATCCTGCACTGACGCCATTAACAATATGTGGCTAGATTGTCAGCCATTTCGACCTCCCCGTTACCGCGGACGAAGGCTTAAAAGTTCACGTTCAAACGAAAACTCCATGCTTCTTCCTTCCAAAGACGTGCCAAACTTAGACCACATACCACCGCGGACATCAACAAGTGCACCACTTGACCACATAAATCGGTGACTCGGCAAGTAAGTCACGCTGTCATGTATTGGAAAGCATCTCTCGCTCGATGTCCTCCCTATCATGTCGGGTTTGGCTGCCGACGACGAGAGAACACTAATAATACATATGGGTTGAAGACGTACACAGGATACATAATAACATCCAACGACGATATGAAATGTCACCTGTTCACGAGGAACATGAAAGCCTTGGTCGGCCAGTCCACGCCTTTCCCGGGGTGTTGGATGTCGGTGAGGATCGACGAGCACTGGGATGTTACACTGGCCGCCGTGCTGTTCCCGTACAGGTCGTCCGTCGTCACTTTCTCGTTCACAGTGAAACAATCCGTCGGCGAGTTGCTGGATANGGAACATCAAAGCCTTGGTTGGCGAGTCCACGCCTTTCCCGGGGTGTTGGATGTCGGTGAGGATCAACGAACACTGGGATGTTACACTGGCCGCCGTGCTGTTCCCGTACAGGTCGTCCGTCGTCACTTTCTCGTTCACAGTGAAACCATCCGTCGGCGAGTTGCTGGATGAAAAAGAGGTCAGATGTACGAGCATGACCGCGTCCTGGCTAAACTTCAGATGACCGTTGGCGGCGGACGCAGGGCGTCCTGCTCCAGTAGAGGAGTACACCAGAGTCAGCATGTTCTCCTCGATAACCACGCTCATGCCCTTCGCTGTGAGTGCGGCTGCAGGGACAGAGATGCGCGATTGAAAAATCCAGGCGCGCCGTT